TTATGTTTTGAATAAGCATGGACTAATATATTCACATATTTGTCATCGTGGCAGTAATTGAAGTTTTATTTTCGGTTGTTGTACGTATACAAATATATGTATGCAATATATGTTGAAGATGTATTGGACTGATATTAGATTTGAATGTAATGAGCTTGGTATCACAAGTGTTCTATTGAAGCCAAACAAAAGCTTGACAATAGTGTATTGGTCTGATCAGTGGGAGCTTTGAAAGCAAAGCTTTTGAATGTGTTTTAGCATTTTAGTACCATGCATAAATTGTTTTGGGAAATGTGATCTTAGGGTGTTTGTATGACTTGATGTACAAATTTCCTACGATTCAATTCTTTGAAATTATTTACAGGAGATATGTAAGGGATTAGTGTGATTGAATTGGCTAAGGTGATCACTCAGGAACTAATTTGATTTTGAACATTGAAGGAGCATGATCAGTGATAATTCAAAGTGGGAGAATGTAAGTACTCTATTTGAATCATCCCAAAGCATGATAAGGATAATTGACGTGTAATTAATTAGTTAAAGTCACAACCACTAAGGATGCTAATCTCTTTGTTTGTAGGACACTAATGTATGTGCATTAGTTGTGATTTTTCAACTAAATAAACGTCAAGGAGTTTAGGCATCAACCATCCCATGATAGCTGGGATGCAGTTGGGTAATTTGACTATATAGGAGGTGTCCCTGCTCACAGGAAGACTACATCAAAACAAGATTTAGAACTATCGCTAGGGTTTTGATATCATGTTCCTCAGTGAATAGAAGACTATTTTGGTGTTGCTATCTTTGCTGCTTGATTGATGGCTTCCACATGTATGATCGATCACTTTCTTCATCCCAACTCTTTAAATGTTATATTTAAGATAGGTGGTTTATGATCCTTGTTGAAGACTAACCATTTATAGGTCTACCAGGAGCACCGCTAATGCCATTACACCACAAAGGTCATTGTATAAGATTACATGACTACACGAATCCCAAATCATATTTAAATCTTAAACTTAACCGTATATAAATGAAAAAGGAGATACCAACATGTAGACAAGCTCCAAATAACCCATTGACCAACTGAGTAAATTAAATCTTTTGTCATCTTCATCGCCCAGAGACCAACAAAAATGAGATCTTGGTGCCAGAGAAACCAAAACCATGCAAACGGTACCAAAGAATGAGGTGGTACAAAGACCCAAACCCAAACCAAAGGAATAGTTTTGCACACCTTCTGCTGAATGGGCGATAAATCATTCTCATGATGGGTGCTGAAGATAAGTTTCAAATTATACTTTTCAATTGAAAGAAAAAAACATAAGAGCCAACCTGATGTTATGGTTGAGTGGGGATGGGAGAAGGTGGAGAATAAATGTGGCGGTGACAAGAAAAGGGGAAAGAATTAAAGTTAAGGCTAGGGATTTGAGATTCATTTGGGTAGATCCAAAAATTGTGGCTAGGAGAACAAGTCTAAGATAGCAATTGAGAAATAAATATAGTGGGCAAAGTCCCGTTAGTGAGACGTTTTCAACTAAAAAACCATCGTCTATCATGGTTTTGTGCAGCCATAGTCAACTCTTACCGATGCAGAGAGAGAACGAGGCAGACCATAAATGTTTGTAGGGATGTAATAATGGATAAACGGGAGAAAGGGAAGAAGGAAGAAGATGAGGATAAGAGACCAAGGGGATGCAAATGCCACTAAGGAAGGGAGTGGGGTAGACGAGGCAGTAGAGGTGAAAGAAGGGCGAGGAGAAGGGTAAGAAGATAAAAAAAGAAACAAAAGAGGGAGTCGGAGGGAAAATAAGGAAGCAATCACAAGGTGAGATAGGGGAGAGGAATGATGGAGAGGGTGGGAATGAAAGGGGAAAAAGGTTGGGGAAAAGGGATGAAGGTTGGGAAATCAGCCAGGAAGCTTTTAGACTATCTCCAACCAAAAGAAGGCCAGATAGCTCTCTTTAGCCCTTTAACCCTCCAAGAAATTATATTTTAATGAACAGTGTCATGCCATATTTCATACCATCTCCAAGTAAGGGGGTCAAAGGGTCATGGGCCAAACATAGCCCCGTGATAAAAAACCTTCTCCAACTGAGGTGGCCAAAGAGCCATAGGCCAAACATAATTTATTATTTCAATTTAAAGACTACAACAACTTAAATTTAAAAACTACAACTTAAATATTAAAGACTACAACAACTTAAATTTAAAAAACTACAAGTTAAATTTAAAGACTAGAATCATCATCTTCATCTGCCGTTGTAGGTGTATAGTCGGATGTATACAACTCCCGTTGGGCCATAATTTCCCTTTTTTCCCTATCAAAATATGACTTACTAATTGGAGTGTAATCTGAAGTGTTCCTTTGCATGTTCCTATCATTCATCTCTTCTTGTATTTGTTTTGCCCGTTCTTCGTGCCTATGGTTCCTTTCTTCTGCGGCAAAGGCATTTTGCTCCACCATTAATTGCAATGAGGACGCCATTTCCTGTTGAAAGGCGTAATCATCCTTTGCCTTGCCCTTTTCCATTAATTTTCAGGCCTTGTTTCGTCCCGTAGCCCTAGGTATGGAACCTTCACCCGAAGACAGATTTTCTACCCTTGCTTCTTGAATGGTATGAGATCCATGTTCATCCCCAACTACATTTGAGGATGCATTTTCGAACACCGGCGTAGGACCATCTCTTTCTTGAGGTGGATCTTCAAATAACACCCACCCTTTACAAATTTCCCAACAACCGTGATGACTAAAGGTTTTCAAGTTGTCCTCCATATACAATTCCTCCGCTTGGCGTACCTAGAAAATATAATTACAAAAATTAAAGGAAATTAATTTATGAAATTAAATGTAATATAATTAAATATTTAAAATAACTTGTGAAAACATTTACTTCATCGTAGTAATTGGCTCCGCTTTCATGTCTGCTTCTGACCTTTAACACTGCTTGATGCTATTTATTCAAACTTGGATGAGGATGTTTTTTTCCATCTTGAAGAACAACTCTCGTGATTTTGGGAATTTGGTGAAGTGGTGCATTCGAAGAACTCATAGTACTTTTTGGATGTACAAGTCTAAACACCTTCACTTGTTTGAGAACTCCCCCTCACACTATCTTCTGAGACCCATCTATAAGCCCTGCAAAGAGCTTCTTCTTTTTGGGTCCAAGCCCTACCTTTCATTGTAGATGTGGCCATTTGAAAATTATTGAAAATTTTGAAGGAAAGATTATTGGAAGAGGTAAGAGAATAGAATGTGAAGAATTGAAATAAAATGAAGTAAGATAGTATGGAATGGTGAAAATTATGTGAGAAATGATGTAGGAATGGCTTAGGTATTTATAGGAAAAAAAATTAGAATTTTTTTTATTTTTTTATTTTGGACCAAAAAAAAAAAAATCAAATCCAACGGTAACCTGGTGTCAGTTAGCCGTTGCAAGCTGGTGTCATGCTAATGCCAGGTAATCGTTAGAGTTCAAAATTTGGGCCGGCTTAGGGCTGGCTAGCTGACTCTTTTAGGCCAGCCGGTTGGCCTAATTTGGTGGTTTTGGCCCGGTGGGGCCCACAAGCCCTTTGGCCTAGCCCTCGGTTGGAGGCGGTTTTCGTGTTATTTCGAGCTATTTTTAGCCCTATAGCCCTTTGGCTAGATCGGTTGGAGATAACCTTAGATATAGAGTTTTTGAAAGAGAGGGAAAAGACACGAGGCCCTAGGTTCAATTCGAGGATGCAAGGCTAGATGTCTTTCGTTCGCATGCTTGAAGCACTTGTGCTCAAGCAAGAGTGTTGTTGTGGATAAACAAATTTAATAAAAATGCTCAAAGATCATCTCCAACCCTTTGGTTAAAACCTAAAATTTTTAACCCAGAAAATTTAGGTTTTAATCCAAGAACAGTTTTTCTCCTCCAACCTTTCTAGGTTAAACTTTAGCCCGAGATTATTAAAGAATGAATTTAGGATAATTATTTTTTTCTTAAAGTGATTTTAAAAAAATAAATTATGTAGACTATCCTAATTTAATTCTATGAAGATTTTAACATAAAAATATTTGGATTCTGATAGATATTGAAAAATCACTAAACCGACACCATGAAACTCGTGGAACACTATGAAAGAATATAAAACACATAAAAGAAAGTTTTTTAATTACTTTAGCCATTGGATTTAAATTTGGACCATTAGATTTTTTTTTTTACCGTTGGATTATATCATATTAGATCTTAGCCGTTGGATTCAATGAATTTATAAACATAAAAAAAAAAAAATACACATATATGGTGGGCTAGCCCCACTAACCTGGCTGCTCTAGAAATGAGTTTTGGGTTAAAACTTATATTTACCCTAAGGGTTGGAGTAAGTTGGAATAAGTTTAGAACCTAAAATTTGAGTTTTACGTCAAAGATTGAAGTAGGTCTAAGTGTTATTTATTTTTTTATTTATTTTTTTTCTAGGAAGGGCTTCTTGAAGAAGCGTTTTGCACATGCTTCTTCATAAAGCTTAAAAGATATTTTTGAAATATATAAATACTTTTATTTATTTTTAAATGTTTTAAAAAATGCTTTAGTTATTAAATGCTCTTTTAATTATTTTAAAAGCACTCTCAAATTATGTTAAGCTAGCTAGATTTATAAGTTCATCTCTAACACAAGGTCTCAAAAGTCAATTGATCCAAAAGTATAGATCATCCAAAGATTCCATAAGTCGATGCTACAATAGTCGGTTAACTTTGAGAATATTGAACGTCTTATACTGGCCAACATGATTTACAAAACGGACCACGTGTGACAACACACAAAAATTAGGACCCTCTTTTATTTTTGCTTCGCTCAGCACGTTTTATGTCATCATTCATTTAAATATTAACACATACAACCGATTGTATAAAAGAATCTCTCCGGTAACAGGGCTGAAAGTTAGCAACGTGCATTGATTCCCGCCTTTGTTTCAGTTGAAGAATGTAAATATGACTAAAGCCACCTCTATGTGTATGGCCAACAAAGAAAAATCTCAAACATCTCTGTACATATTTCTCTAAGCATCTGCACTTTATTAGGGTGACATAGCTTTATAACTTAATATCATAGATCTCGAGAACGAATCAAATCAAATGATTCTTTTTCTCAGTTTTTTTTACTTGCTCCTATGGGCCAATGTAGAAAAGATCGAGAAAAATCAGTCATTCACAACAACTAAAGAACGATTCCTCGAGAAGTTATGAGACGCACTCGAACCATCAACAGCTGCTCCCACCAGTCACTTTGCAAGTAAGGCAGGCCTCTACTGCTTCGCCAACAGTGAGGAAAACACTCTCTCCTCCAATCTTGTCTACCAATTTGGACACCTTTAGCCTGTGAATCACTTGCCACCTTGGGTTGGCCATGGCTAACTGCAATCCAAACAAATAGAATTAATTATCTTTTAAATTAGACAAGTAGTATTGACATGCAGATGAAACACACACTTGTATGCCATATGAACACAACTTCTTGTGTATTTCTTCTAGGGCAAGAATTCCGGAAGTGTCCACATTCATCACATCTAGCATAAGAGGAAATTTACATTAATTAGTAAGTGAATATATCAAGACATATACATAATTCTTCGTAAAAAAAAAAAAAAAAGAAGTCAATCTTAAATGGGTCGAGTCAAACCGGGCTAACTTATTTTACATTTTTAATCAAGTATCGCTTAGATTTAATTTTGTGCCATTTTCAAAAACAATATAATAATAATTATTATTATTATGTGTCAGTTCTACAAATAGTAAAATTCATTTGTATGATTAGTTCTAGCAAGTGATACATCAAACTAGCCTTAATGTTTCAAATAACTTCAAACGGACAGTACTTACTGGACATATCAAGGATTACATGTTGAATTCTTCTTTTTTCTTTCGGATCTCCATTCTCATCCTCTTCTTTTGTCACCCACTTCAATACCCTAGAATAAATATAGCCTTCATGCATTAGTTATTTCTATGTCCAAATTAATTATGTCAACTGAAGGAGAAGGACATAAACTTAAATAATACTCGTATACCTTTCTTTCACAGAATTAGCATTGGCAAAGCAAAGCAAAGAGGAGTTGATGCCAATTATCAAGATGCTTGGAGTTTCAATGGCCATGGGATACTGATTGATGTTACAAAAGATGTCTGTTGTTGGAAGTCTCCCCAGAACATCTATTCCAGGTCTAAGTGAATTTATCAATATCTTTGCAAAAGAGATGCTTACCTGCATAAATGCACTCCAAAACTCATCAGAATCAAACACATGATTTCTGATCATATATTCTTAGTGCTTAGTTTTAGCTTGATACTTGCATATATTCAAAATTTGAAATTAACTTTGATAGATTCTAGCAGAATCAATCCATGCAAATAAAACTCCATTGTATAGTGGCTTCAGTGTGTGTGTGTGTGTAACGCTTTCATGCATTATTGTTAATTAATCTATGTAGAAACATACTTGTTTTTGTTATTGGCTTACAATCATTCAAATCTCAGTGGGTTTATGTATGGGCATTTGCAAGATGCTTGTGAGATATCATATTACATTAAGCATAGGAACCTACGTACCTAGCCGTCAACAGTAAGCTCCATTGTGCTATTTGATATAACAAAACGTTCGGTATAACAAAAAGTGGACAATCCAAAAGGATTGACCTGACTCTTCCACTTTGTGGCCTGCTTGTAGGACCAAATCACACTAAAGATAAGCATCCAGTCCCACTAGGCTGGTCGTATCTCACCACTAAAATATCCAATCTCTATCACGAGACGGAGCCTACCCCTTGATCAAATTTGACTCTCCATATGTAAAATTTAGTACATTCTATTCTTTTGTTTCATCGAGCGATATTCTAAGTAATCTAATCTAATTATATAGAAAAAAGAGTTTTAATCAGAGTGCAGAAGATGAAACATATTGCTTTAATTAACTTAACTACGTTCATGTTTGCTGTACATTCTATCCTTTAGGGTAAAAGATCTTCGCTCTAATTTAAAACTTAGGTATGGAAATTAGTGCCATGTACGCACAACGGGTAAAATGCATATTTGAAGGATAAAAAGTGAAAAGAGTGAAAATTAGTTACCGCAGCAAGAAGACCAATTTCTACTGATTCAAACAAGACCCCCAAGAATGCACCAACGCAAGCAAGGAAGTCCAATTTGTCAACCTTCCAAATGTGGTAAGCTCCATTGATATCAATGAGCCCAGGAAGAGCTGATAGGATGATTGAAGCAAGGATTGCCATGGGAGTGAAATACAATAGTCTAGTAAGTAATTCCAGTGACAAAATTACGGTTAGAGCCATCACTATATTTGATACCACAGTTTGACACCCTGCACTAAAATTTACTGCAGTTCTTGAAAATGAACCTGCAGAGGCCAAAATCCATCAATTACTTATTATTCGAGTGATATTATAATTAATTTAATCTAAACTTCAGAAAGAGGGATGCAAACTCGGTTTCAGAGGGGAAAGTACACTGTGCTAGTTATAAACACAACTCACCAGTTGCAACATAGCATGAAGTTAATGATCCAGCAATGTTCATGCATCCCATGGCTAGCATTTCTTTGTTACCATCAAGATGGTACCCTTTGATGGCAGCAAAAGATCGACCGACGGCAATGGCCTCCTGGTAAGTCAATAAAACATTTAGTTATCATGAAAAATCTACAACCTTTTTATCGGACACAAAATAAAAAAGAGCGGGATGCAACACGAGGAGCATGATCATCCTAGTACAACTTTCAGCCAAACTCGCTTAATTTCAGAATTTTGATGGGGTCTACAACGATTAAATACGTAGAGAAAGCAATGCAGAGAACTCACAGCAAGAGCAATGATAGCAGAAATGAGTCCCGCTTTGGCTGCTTGTCCAACATGTGGGCCTCTGAGTTGTAGCTGATGAGCTGAGCTTGGATTTAGTCCCCCTTTGATATGTTTTACAACATTTACTCCATGCTTGTCAGCTTTTGTTAAATACACTATCAAAGTAGATAATATAACTGATATAAGTGGGGCAATTGCTGGTACCCAAAAGAGCTTTTTGTTTCTTTTTCCCTGCAAATAAAAAAAATTAATGTCTATGAAGGCTAAATCTAAAATTGCCAAATAAAATCTGAGACTGCTAGAATTTAATAAGTACTTACAATAAACCTAGCAATTAGGAGGAATATCAAGAATGCACAACCAAGGACGATGTTCAGAGGGTGCCACTGCCATTGAAACACTATCTATTAACTTTCGTGAATCGAAAAATGAACATAAAAAAAAAAGTACCATAATTTTTTTAAGAAAACACAAAATTTACATAATTTTTTTAAGAAACAAAATATACTGAATTATATACACTTAATTAGTATTTATCATTGCTGTAAGTGTCTAATTAACTTACTGGTTCATGAACAATTGAATCGAAAACAGACTTCAAGACGGAGATTATATCGGTGTTGGTGGTGAAGTGGCTGATCCCAAGAAGGCCCTTGAGTTGTTGGAGGCCAATGATGATGGCTGCACCAGCCATAAACCCTACAATTGCAGCATGCGAAAGAAAGTCCACAAGAAATCCCAACCTACAAGTAGTACAAAATGGACTGTGTTAGGATGAAAATCGAACTTACGTTTCGGAAGGTTGCAGTAAAAACAAGTTTGCTGATCAACTTGCCTGAAAATTCCAAATGCAGCTTGGAAGATTCCGGCAAAAAATGTCACTGTGAACACAAGATTTCGGTAAGCAATAGGATTGGCCACAGGATCTTCTATCTTCTGAATCAAGGAGGGTAGGAGCATGGAAACCACAGCCACTGGCCCAATTGCTAGCTCTCTTGAGCTCCCCATTAGAGAATAAATCAGAGGTGGAACAATGCTTGTATCTAAATGCAATAACCCAAATGAAAAAAACCGATAAGATAAAACCAAAAGAATGAACAAAAATTTGCTGACAAATAAAACAAAATGAACAACTTACACAGGCCATATTGCGGATCAAGTTTTGCAAGATTAGCATATCCAATACTCTGCCAAGTTCATAAAAAGTACAAAAATGTATAACAAAAAAAATTATAAGGACATTTTAATGGGATTTTCTAAGTAAATTAAACCGAAAAACTTACCTGAGGAACACTAAGGCTGGCCAGTGTCAAACCTGCCATCACATCATTTTTAAACTTTGATGCCTTGTAATTCCTCCCCCAGCTAAGGATTGGAAACAGACCCCGAAATAACGAAAAGGCTCGGTTTGCTGGTGTTTTCTGCTTGGAGTAACTGTTTCCTTGAGGAAGAAGATTGGATTTTATGCCATGAATGAGCTGCTGCCATAAGCCTGGTGGATCAGGAGAAGAGAGAAGCCACTGAGCTGTCTTGGCCCGACCGGAAGTGTCCTCGGCTTGGCGGTGCTGCTGCTGAAGCTCCACGGTAGTGAAGATCTCAGTTGGCAGTGAAGCCATGGTGGTTAAAAATTTGAAGTGTTTGGGTGAACTCTCTTGAGTCGCATATATTTTAGGTACCTGCAATGGTGTTCTAGTTTTTGTACCAAACCATGACAGAGATGTTTGAATGAATGCAGTCATTAAATACATTGATGATGTCAAAATAACTGCAGCTGCTTATTGCATGTTGAAACATTAACTCATCGCAATTGATGAGCTCATTCATAATGAATAATAAGTGTTATAAGCACGACACATTAATTTAATTTCCATGTAACGTTTTAAGTTTTACAGGAATTCTCACTTTACTATCCTAAAGTATCGTAAAATTCGCACTTTGTTATCCTTAATTTTTTCGTCGTAGTTTGCCTAAATTTTGATTTTTCTAACACTTTAATACTTCGGTTAGGCTTTCCGTCAAGTTCTTCGTTAAGTGATGATATGGCATAAATTTGGCACACCATATTTGCCACGTGGACGAGAGATTCTCTTCTAAATCCAAGCCACCATGTCTAGTGCGAATTCTTGGCAAATATGGTGGCAAATAGGGTGGGTCAAAGTTATGCAACGTCATCATTAAACGGAGAACTTGACGGAAAGCCTAAGAAAGTATTGAAGTGCCAGAAAAGTCAAAATTTACGTATGAAACTGAAACGAAAAAAACTAAGAGTTGCAAGATGTAAATTTCATATTACCCTAATTTTTAATAGATGTCAATTGCGTTGGTTTATAGGTTCATGTTCAACTAACTGTGTCTTGAATTCATACTAATTCCCTCCTTTTAATCTAATTCAAAGTTGTAAAATTGCTTATAATAAAAATATAAAACAATAGATGCCACAAGGGACCACTTTCCCAACACATAATTTTTTATTTTTTTTGGATTTGATACTAAAAACCTTTTAGAGCATCTCTAAAGAGATATCAAATTTTAAATATAAAATTTACTTTTTGACAGCTTATGTGTCATTTGACATCTTATAAAGTTTTTCTTTCTATTTGATATGTCAAACTAAACTATTATTTTATTATATTAAATTATTATAATAAATGTTTTGAAACAAAAAACAACAATAAAATTAATAAAATACATTTAATAATCAATTAAATAAAGATTTGAAGTTGCACTAATAATATATATAAACTGCTAATTTCTTAGATGAGAACAACCAGTGTGGCTTTTGATTTAAGCAATTTAACAAATTCAATTGACACATATAACAAAAGCTGGGTGGATTTAAAAATTAAGACCAAAGTGATGTAGCCCGTGAACTTATGTTTTCCTCAACCAAGCCAAACAAGACTTTGTCTGTTTATGTTCACATAGCAGGGCTATTACTACAGGTTTTGTCTACAAAAAGCTAGCAGCAAGCTTAAAAACATGCACTATTTTTCAACCCGAAATATTCACTATCTTTTGGTGTTGTTGACTAATTAATTACAATAGTATATACGTAATGCAAGTACAATTTTCATCATATGTATGACATTGATTTACTCAAGAAATCACATTTATTGATCACACATCTTTTGTGTGAGAGATTTGCCACGCAAGTTAGATTTCACCTTTGTGACATATATGATATGTTGCGAGGGCGAATCTCACATTGCATGTGCTTATAAGGGATGAGATTACTCTTCATATTGTCAATTAATTTTATAATGAACATTAACCTTTTATGTCGATAAATACAGCATGAAACCAAAATAGTTTCTCATTTTACTAATATTAAAAAAATTCACAAACAAGTTTTTCCCCATAAGACGTGCCATAGATAATATGGTCTGTGGAGCACCTAGTAAGACTTGCCTGCTTGGACAGGGACTTGTTTGGACTTTAACAAGAATGAATGAAAGATGATAACCGATGAAATTGGGAATTGTCATGTGAATAAAGCAAGAGCACCATCATGGAATTGGGATATATATGAACTTAGCTTCTGCCCACTTTTGTGAGAAGAATAGGGAGATGTATGGAGGAGATTGGCCTGACTTTGTGCTATGGTCCCCTTTTGTGTCAATCATAGGTCAATGGAGTCCCCTCAACATAAAATTGTGGCGACGCACCACCGACTTTCCACCTTTGATTCTTGTTATTGTGTTAGCTTTTTTGACCCCTCCTGCCCACATTCCTTTGAAGCCCTTCTCCTTGTCATTTGAAAGCTGCAAGCATCTTTTTATCTTGCAATCAACTAAAGGGTTATGTATATAAGCTTTATGCAGAATGTGCTAGAATCCACTGGCCCTATGAAACCCACTTCTGTCTTCCTTCAAGATTAACGATCTCTTACTATAACTCCCATGCGTATGTTGTTAGACAATGAATGTGAATTATACATGTAAAACATAACTTTATTTAACTCATAGTTTTACAACATAACATGTCACGTTATCATCCATGCATGAAAATTTTCTTAAGAGTTATGCAATGATTGCATAATTTTGCTTATGCCATTTTTGAAAGTGGGAGTCTATGAAGTCCAAAGTTTTCAAGGATGCCTTGTGTTGCAATTGATTGTTGGTAACTAGTGGGAGTCAATTTTCTGAAGCAGTGTTTCGCTTGATTACTTCTGATAACTTTAAGCTCATGATCTTGGACACCATTGAGGGAAGATTCACAAAAGTGATGTTGGTCCCATTTTCGGGTGCCTTATATGAAAAAGAAATTAAACCACTATAGCTCCATTTTCTTTTTAAAGTTCAAGTAGGAGATTATATTTTGAGCAGTAAGGCCAGCCCAAGCCCAATGCGAGCAAGGCCTAATACTTGCGCCACACTTTGTTAAAAGGAAGTTTTAACGAAACGGTTACAGTACTATTCACTTTAATGAAAAACCATATTTTTACACTAAAAAGTCAATCCTGGTACTATTCACTTTACCCTTTATTTTGTCTTTATCATTAAAACTCAAAGTTTTCAAGTTATTTTCATTAGTTTTCCTTTGTTAAAAGGGCTGATGTAGTAAACATTTTTATCACAAATAGTAGTCCCGAATCGTATTCTGTTTCAGATTTCAATGAGTGATCCAAAATCTCTTGTACTCCGCGATTCTGTTGAATGGTCTGGAACCATATTCTATTTGGATTATGTTGAGTGATCGGAAACCCAATCTTTGTTGGATTTGTTGGTTCGTCTAAAACTGCATCCCATCTTCATTGATTCTTTGGTTCCTTGGATTCACAATTTAAATTTAGAAAGCTTTGGAGATGATGGCTTCGGCCAACCTAGGTCGCTCTAGCCCTACTTTTTAGTGTATTTTATGAATTATAGATTGTGACCTCTATTGTTTAATTAGATAGGCCGATGGATGTCTATCTGATTCCTTTGGGATTTCTTAGTGGTTTGTTTATGATTTCATAAAGTATGATTTTATGTTTGATGTTATAAATTGTGATCAATGGATATGTTTTTATGATTATCACATTGGACTATTGTCACTCACACGAGCTTTGCAGTTTATTTGGGTTGTTTATTTGCCTGGTGCACCATTCTCACGATGTACGGGCAATTGTGCAGGTTATAGGGCTTAGTTGACACGTGGAGCCCTTAAGGTAATAGATAGAGGTCAGAGAGCTTGGAGTGTTAGGTTACCCCTATATCTTTCATTGTAATTTTTTCAACTTTCTTTTAGGAGTCTACTAGCAGGTCTTGGCCCTAGTGAAGGTTTAGTTATTTCCTTGTACATATGTTATTAATATTTTTAATTTTAGTTTGTATTTCCTGGCATTCCCCTGCAGTCGATTGTCGCGAGTTGATCATAGATGTATGTCGAAATCGAGACGTGATAAGTTTCTTCTGGAAAATTAAAGGGGACGTGTCAAGCTTTAAAAAGAGCCATTTTGGAACTGAATTCTTACTGATTTGGTCGGTCAAAAAAGTGTTTTACTCTGCAAAACTTGAAACTTTGATTTAATTTTTTAATTTTTTTTTTTTTTTTAAGATTTGTTGGAGAACCTAGTTTAGGTAGGATTTTAATATAGCTTAGTCTCCTAGTTAGGATTCAATTTTTTTTTTTTTTTTTTTTTTTTTTTTTTGGTTACGACATTGTATTGTAGAACTTGGCTGGATCTTCTCAGACGAAATATTCTGTTAAAGTTAACCGGAAGGCTCACGGAATATTCTCTTGGAATATTCCCTCCAATTCTTAAATGAATCCAGGTAGGGTTAACGGGTTATGGGTTTGGGCCAGTTCTCGATCCAGTTCGGGCTTCTTTTTTTTTTTTTTTATCTTTTTCTTTTTTCTCAATTGCCGCAACAACCGCCGGCTAGAAACTAAGGATTTGGCCAGGAAACTTCCATGGCTCCGATTAGCTTCAAAACTCAACCAAAATCAACGTATAATATCTGGTTTTAAAGCTGGAAGTACAAGGGAAAAAAATATATCTACATGAGGTCCTGCCGTGATCGGAATTCACTGGAAAATGGCTCGAAAGGGGAAATGAACTGACCATCCGAGTAGGCGGTATTGGCTCTATGCGTGCACGACATGGGACGTGGATGGCGAATAAACTGGCCATCTGCACGTGCCAGATGGGTCGTAAGGACTAGGCGTGTAGACTGCTGCGTCGTAAGGACCTAGATAATAAGTTGTCTTTCTCATCTTATGTAATCCAACATGCTACAGAAGTTTGTATGGATCAAATAATAGCTCTAGGCATCTTCTATTTACCAATACAGAACTTGCCAAAAATGTTGGACAGAACCTCCTCGGAAATGTCTTCTCCGCTTATTTGCCCTAGGGCCATTGCCGCGTCCCTCAAATCAATTGTCCAGAAGTCGAAAGGCATTTCCTCTTCTATTGAAGATTTCAACCTCACAAACGCCTCCTTGGTCCGAACTAGCTGCTCACATTGTCTCTGACAAGTCGTCAAAATTTAATACAACAATGAGAATCAACCTTGAATCATAAGATCAATCTAAATTAGTCACTGCATTTTTTTCCTTCAAATCTGAGTAAATGGAAAGATAGAACGTTGCAATTATGGTAATTAAAAACAGAACAGACACGCCGATATACACGTAGCTGACCTGGTTTACAGTCCATCTGCGGTTCCCCACGGAAATTTTGTCAAGACCAACAATCTCTAATATTGCCGTCTCTAAACCCTGGATTCCTTGACCAGTGACAGCAGATGTCAAAACATGCTTACTGAACGAAGAGATATCCTTTCCAATCCCCTCCATGCAATCAGATGGAACACAGTCGATTTTGTTAATTACAAGGATCATGGGGGTAGAGGATCCAGTAGATTTCTGTAGGAGACAACAATTTCTTATATACTTTTGAGTAAAAGAACAGATTGATTGATAAACAGAGAAATGTACGTTTTATATGATTCAGCGCATGAGAGAAAACCTTATTAGATTGTATTCTATTTAGAAGTTCAGAGTCTTCTATAGTCCAGCCATCAACAGCACTTACTGCCATTATAATAACATCAGCACCCATAGCAACTGCTTCAGACCTCTCCACACCTGTGATAAGATAGTCCGAGAAATGGATAAGCATTTCCAGCAGGAGTGCCATGATATGGCCATCATACATCACGCAATATGCACAACATTCCTCGCCAATAAACTAAACATAGGAGAGAATTATTTAACTAATGCTCAATGGACCATTGAAACTAAACGAAATCTTATGCTATTGAAAAGGAAACTTAGGCACTTGGTGAGGTTGGCTTGTAATTCTGGTTTGAAATCAGCGGATCTTTAAACATCAAGAGTGCAAAGACGGATAGCCTTACCAATTTTCTCCACAATGTCATTGGTTTCCCTAATGCCCGCTGTATCAAGAAGGGTTACAGGAATGCCATGAACTGTGATACTGGCTTCAACCACATCTCGAGTGGTCCCAGCAATTTCTGTAACTATTGCTCTCTCAGACTGCACGCTAAAATTAAAATGTGCTGCTCAATAACATCTCATACTTCCATTAATGGCTAAACAGAACAGAAGGAACGACACCAAAAGTGGAAGGACCACATTTATGAAAACAATGGTCATTTTTTTTTAAATGTCTATTGTTCCTCTTACAAATACAATTGTTTCTACTAAACTACTACGAATGAAGCCCACTTTATAAGTACACATGATTAGATTGGAATGGATAACTCCTTATTTTAAAGGTATATTCAAGGTGGAAATGAATGGTTTCTCATTTGGAGGTATTAGAAGAGGATTAACTATGAAGGAATTCCTACCATTTTACGGAGGATTGAGTGAATAAATTTTCTAATACCTTTAAGTGAATAAATTTTCTAGAAGTGAATAAATTTTCTTCATGAGCAATTCATCTTCTATCCTCTAGGTGGTCATAATTTTATAATTTCTCCCTTCAACCTACCTTTAATTTAGTAGGTTATCCATTCCAATCCAATCATGTGTACCAAATGAGCCCTTAAATGCAGTACTCATCTCAAAACTTACTGAAAGAAGTACAAAAAGAACGTAATAGTAATTAGCTTCCAGTCAGATTTATTCAATAAGAGACAATTTCATGGTTATGAAAGCTATTTTCATATAACCCCAACTTTGCTTATAGAAACAAAAGGTTTTCATGGTTATGAGATTCATTTTCATATAGGCATATGCCTATACAACTTATTTAAAATACCTTCCTTTATAAGTAAATGCAATTTTTCTGGGGATTATTACAGAAGATACAGTTCTACAAAGAGCTTCATATGTAATATTATACTAGTTGGTATGTCAAAGGCCATCTCAATCAAGACAGAGGGAAAATTCACTCCAAAATCACTTAAGCACAGTGGTTTTGCAAAAAACAACCGTTGACAAGCAAAAGGGGAAAAAATGTTATGAGGCGATCATTACTATTTTAGTGTAGGCCACGCCAGCAATTCATTAAGAAAACAAGCAATCATGCCCGAAAAAAACTAAAATAGTCACCACATACTTTGCTCCAAGCATTGAGGAGACTTGACTTCCCAACATTTGGACGGCCCAGAATTGCTATCTGCAAGATTTAATATGAGCTCGAAAAATCAGACTGCAGGGAATGAGAACACAAAAGACAAATGTATATAATCTTTTGAAGATACAAAGGATATCACGGAAGCAAACCCATATCACAATAATAAACAGAAAAAGCAGTCCCATTTAGTGCAGTTGATTTCAAGTTTAAACGAGGAAAATAAACCTATATCTAACAGTGTAACCACCCCCAAGTTTTGATCATTACTAGCCAAAATTTAGCCCCAAATTTCATAAATGTCACTTTTTATAAAAACTTTCAGGTATAGCAGAAACCAACTTAAATAGACCTAAATACCCTCAAAATTAAAACCAAATAAACCTCAGGGGTAAAACGCAACTAGATTGTACAATGAAGAATGTGATCGGTTCATTGTATCCATTCTTCTCATTAGGTATAGGAATTGGGAAGATTCTTGTGCAGCATTTTTGCACACCCTGTTGTTTCGTTTTGATTTGTTTGTGAGGTTATTCTGGTACAATTCAGAACTTGCTAAGAGGTGTTATAGATAAATTAGATTAATTAGACAGGGTCCGCGGATCTCTTTTTTCATTTTTCTTTTATCAAAAGTGGCAGAATTTCATTTGAAAGCCAAAGGCTAATTCAGTAAATTAGAGAGGAGACTCTCCTAAAAAACCACATCACAAATGACATCAGGAGACAGACGCCATTGTTGAGGACAGCTACTCTTGCCAGGCAATGAGCAACCTTGTTTGCTTGGCGGCGAACATGGGAAGAAGAAGCTCCAATGATCGAATGCATGAGGGCCTTCGCATCTTCCACTATCAGTCCATTGGAGAGAGGTCAGGAGGAGTCTTGAACCGCCACGGTGATCTAGAGAGAATCTCTATCAATAATGATATTTTGATTGCCCCTCTCAACTGCCAAAATCAAACCTTGCCTGACAGCCAAAGCTTCCGCATGCACAGGGAGAAAACACAAGTGAACAATTTACTAAGATCCCCAATGAAAGCACCTTCAGAATTTCTGATTATAACTCCAACACCACCCTAATAGATAGACTTATTTCAAGCTCCATTGACATTGATGTTTAGACAACAACTTGGGGGGGGGGACCAATTTGGGAGAGGAGCATGGGGTGAGGACTCGCTGTGAGGAAAAGCCACCTTCAAGAACTCTTGCCACCAGCCAATTGCCTTAGAAGCGACCACATTCAGGGCTACACACTTGCCCTCCCACAATTTTGTGTTTCTTGCATTCCATATTGCTCAGAGCATTCTCATAAAACAATCAAAGTCATACTTCTTTAGGACACGGCTAACTTCAAGAGCCCGGTTTTGTATTCAGAAAGCAAAATCCCTGATAGGAGGAATTCCCAGATTGGGAGATAACTAGATGCACTTGGAAAAAGGGCACTCCATAACGAGAAGCCAACTGCATTCACCATTAGCTCCACACAGCACACACCTGTTGTCAAAGGGATACGCTTCTTTGCTAGAGACCATTATAGGAATTATATCAAGACAAATCCTCCAAGCAGACACCTTAAGTTTTGGAGGGACGCAAGCATTCCAAATTTTATTCCACAAAAAATATGAATGATCCTCTTGAGAAAACTGTTTTTGTTCTAAATATCTGTCCTTTGGTCTACAACAATCAGATTAGAATTTTGATTCCAATGAGTTAGAAACCTCAACCAATATTATGTCTGAACAGACGATTGTACAAAGAATATTCTGCCGCGACGGACATGTATCAACGATAGTGATTGAATTTCAGACATGGGTGGCAAATTTGCAGGTCTGTACTCGGCTAGTTAACTGCAACTTCAACAACACCAGCACTGCTCCACAATGTTCACCACTCCCTTCGTGGAACAACGATGCAGAGAAGAACCATTCAAGTGCTTTGGCTTTTCTGAGTAATTGGGTTATGGCATTTGAGACTAGTCACCTAAGTTTTTGGCCATATTTGAAAGTTCTATAAAATGTGACATTTATGAAATCTGGGGTTAAATTTTGGCTATTAACAATAAAAACTCAGTATACAGTCTCTGTAAATTGAAGAGAAAACATCAACATCAGGGTTCAGTTAGATTAGCATAAGATATGCATAAAGTAGCATGACCTGAGTTATCTTAAGCGATACACTAGATTACCATAAAATATCCATCAATAAGGAAGAAATGTAAGAAATCCAATTTTCATTTGTACCTGTAATCCAGATTGCAGAAGTTGGTCATAATTGGCTGTCTCCAGAGCACTCTCAACATCTTGCGACATGGAATTTATTCTATTCACAATTTCATTTGTATCAAGCGGTGGCATCTCATCATCGAAATCCAAACGGGCTTCAATTTCCGTAAGCAGCTCAATGCACTGAGCTCTTATAGATTTAACCATGGAAGCAAAGCCCCCCTGCCAATGTTAAATTGTTTTTTCCAGGTTGATTATCATTTCCCCCAACTAGGGCTTACATAATTACGGAATTAGTTTATGAAGCACATATATTACACAGGCATACAAAGACACATGCCTGAATAGCAGCCAGTGCCGCATCCGCTGCAGCCACAGACTTGGCTGAAATGAGTTTGTCAACATTTTCAGCTTGCGTAAGGTCCAACCGGCCATTGAGAAAGGCGCGAAGAGTAAACTCGCCTGAATTGAGAAAACAAACACACACACACAGACACATTTAGTGTTAGGAAAATGTGGTGCCTACCCTTTAGTCCTTGCATAAGTTCAATTCGAAAAGCTCAAACATTTGAAACCGAAAATTCAAAAGGTTGGAACAGTTTTGAGCTAAGAATGTGGACCTGGTTCGGCGAGCCTTGCTCCAGCTTCAACACAAGCTCTGAGAACACGATTGAGGCACACTTGGGTTCCATGGCATTGGAGCTCCACCACATCTTCCCGCGTGTAAGACCTTGGCGCCAACATGGGTACAACCAAAACCTAAGCCCAAGCAAAACGACGCCGTACTCGTGTTATCATTATTCACATGCTTCAAATTTCTATTGCATTTCACTGAATGCGGAAACTTCAAATTAGTAGAGTACCTCGTCGACGACATTGCCATTGGGGTCCGAAACGACGCCGTACTCCACCACATGGCTGGTGGGTCGCCACGTGCTCTTCCTCTTCGTCTTCTTCTTGCTCGGACGGAAGACGCGGCCGACAATGGCCACGGCGGACGGCCCCGACAACCGTATGATCCCAACCGCAGCGGGTGGACCTCCAAGTGACGTCACGATTGCCGCAATTGTGCTCGTGCTCTCCTGATGCTGGGACCCACTCAGTGCTCGCTCGTCTCGGCTGAGAAGCAGCGTCTGGGTCTGCGACTGGGTCTTGTCCGGGGAAGAGTTGGTGAAAGTGGAAGAGTGGCAAGGGGGTAAATAGAGCGGGGAGCGAGGGTGGAGTTTGAGACTATTGGGAGTGAGGTGGGAGAGAAGGGGAAGTGAAGTGGAAGCTACGGCGAACAGTGGCGGTAAGTAGCGGAAGCGGAAAGCTGAGAGCAGAGCCATTGATGTGTTTGTTTTGGGTCACCCGGCGCTGACGGTGGCTCTTTGTCTTATCAATCTGATCTTTCTATGGAGGGTAGGGATGACAACGGTTAAGGCGGATGGTTATGATCATTCTCTGCGTAATTGTAATTGTTTGCTCTTTGTGTAATTGTCTAAACGATTATACTTATATTTATAACCGTTTATAAACTCATTTATTTGTAACTGTTTATCTCTTTACTCGTTTTTAAACCTGTTTACTTGCTTATTCGATTCGAATCAGCTCTACAAGGGTGTGTTTGTTGCACCGGACTGTCTCGGACTGGACTAGCTGCAGGGACTAAGTTGGACTGGCTTAGACTAGACTAAGCTAGACTAACTTAGTGAAGCGTTTGGTGCAGTGTCGGACTAAGAAGCAGGATAATTAATAAATTCTAATATTATGTTAATTTATCTATATCTCTTTTAATATTTTATTCTTACTTCTCTCATTTTTTTTCCTTCTTTTTTCTGAAAGCTCTTCCTCTTCTTCGAAACCCAGTTCCATACTTTGAGATCAAATCAAAACCAACTTCCTACAATTACATATCAGAGGAATCGGACGACGGCAAGAGCGGGACCTTCCTCAAAGGTTTGCAGCACAAAAATCATTGTTGGAGCTCTATGCAGCTGCAATTTGGTTGGGCCGCCGAGAATATTGTCGTAATTCTCTCGGATTTGAGATGAGGGAATGGTCTCCCATAACCGCCGCCGTTACTATCTCAACACCAGATGCCAGTACTTCATCCAGGGCCTTCGCCTCGTCGACCTCGAGTACCTCCGCCACACCGGCAACTTCCTCCCCCCACCCAACGCCTCTGAGTCCTGCTGGGTGCCTCCGCCTGCAACTAGTCTCTCGAAAATGGATCGCCCTGCGCCCTCTGCACCACCAGAATAACCTGGCAGAGCTTGCTCTTGACCTGCGAGTCCGTCGGAAACGTCTCCACCTGCGCGGCGTACCCGTCTTGGTGTGGTGCTATGATCTCGTTGGAGAGAGGGCGCAACGCAGACGAAGCAAAGTCTTCGCAAAGGGAGGACGCCAAGCTACACAAAGGAGACGAAGCAGGTCTTAGCAGTCCCGTGGTTTTCGGGGGGTTTCACTAAGACGACCTAGCGAGGTAGATAGTCCACACGAGTTCGGGTTAGTCTCATTTAAGTTAGTCCCCAAGCTTACCAAACATGGGACAATAATCCTAGCCAGTCCAATCCCACTTAAGAAGGTGAAACAAACGCCCCCCAATTGGATTAAGTTGGCCTACTAAAAAGAGTCCAGATGAGCCCATCGGTTTTCTTAATTTTATACTTTAACACAATTAGCATATGTGATTTACGTAGCTTATACCCAATGACGGTGGAACAAAAGGGTTTCTTTAATTTAATGCATCGTGCAATCAAAAATCATTCTAAACCTTTTACTTAAAATTAAACATAAATAGTACCTAACAAAAGCTGATTGTACAATATACAATGAACGAATGGTATGTGAGAATCCGGAGAGGATCCTCATCTGAACTAAAATTAAACATAAACAATACCTAACGAAAGCTGATTGTACGATATACAATGAACGAATGGTATGTGAGAATCCGGAGAGGATCCTCATCTGAACTAAAATTAAACATAAACAGTACCTAACGAAAGCTGATTGTACAATATACGATGAACGAATGGTACGTGAGGATCCGGAGAGGAACCTCATCTAAACAAAGGGACCAACTAGAGGGCAACCCATACAGAGAGTCAAGTTCCAATAGGACTATCTTAGGAGAACGAGGTTTCAAATTCCCCTTTCTGCGTCAATATCTGATCGACATTACAAAAGTCGGTAATAGTTTGTTACAAAGAGACCCGCATCAGGGTAATTTAAAAAAAAAAAGGAAGGCCACCCTACAAAGGCAAATGAGGATGTGAAAATAGCTCTGTCGGTCCTGAAGGATGGTAAGGCTCTAGCTAGCTTAATGGTTAAATCCCAAGATTAGAGGCACCGAAGGTGATAGTGATTCGAACTCACTCCCAAATGGCAAGGAACCATCTCAATGTGTTGCATACCTTGCACGCTTGCCCTCTTGTTCTCTCTTCATTGTTTGAATGCCACCATCGGATACCATTAAAGGAACGGTCTCAATGTCCTGCTGCAGCATCCTGACGCTGTTCATGCAAGAAGAAATAAGCCTGCAACAATTTTCAAATCTTCATTACGATCAAGTGCACTATATGTTAAGTGTTGCGACAATAACCACATGTTGCACCTTGAAGAGTATGGGTCCAAGTGTCCAAGTGTGATTCATTTACATTAATAGCTGACAGTTATTCGGGTGACTATTTTCCCAAGCATTTCTCATCTTACTGAAGTTAACTCGAGACATAAGAAAATCCTATGCATCGGTGGCATTTGCTTGCCGCACTAGGACAAATATCTTAGCCGAGAAATTTTTGCAAAAACATTCAACAATCGATTATGACATGTCTAAGAAAAGATAGATTTGTTGTGACTTGTCTAAGAAAAGATAAATCGATTATGACTTGCATTTTTATTAAGAATTGATTTCAAAAACATTTTATCTAAAAGCGTTTTTAGTTGTTTAAAAGCATGCACTTGTCAAATGAGCTCAAATGCACGTGATGATCCTTGTTACCTGTGAAAGCTATTTATAGTGCTAATAAAAGCTATTTATAGTGCTAATAAAAGTAATTTTTTTTAACATATAGCATTATTACATATAAATATTTAAAGAGAGGTGTACATGTCTACCTTATCCTTTTTCAATTGATTTTATTAGAAAATAAAATTTGAATTTTTTTAGTCACAAAAGCAAAACAAACTGGAACCATTAACTATTAATTAATGAATGATTATTGAATTTGAATCAAAATTGTTTTTCCTTAATGATATAAGAAAATACAAATTGATACCAAATCAGTATAGCTATCTCTTTTGACATAGCAGCAAAATTTCAATCCCTATAAAAAAAGAAGTGATACAAAATTTCTTTCTTCCTTAGCGTTTCACACTACGCTCTTCGATCCTCATAAGGGTAAACTTTTTTCTTTATAACTATAAAAATTTAAAGTACACAATGAGATATTTGGAGTGCTAATAACAAAACTTAAAAAACAATTTTTTTTCAATTTTAGTAAATAATAATTTATATATTCAAGTGAAAATTTAAAGTTAGAGCTTTTGAAGCTTTTTTCTTGTTTGGTTGTTTAAGATTGAAGCTTTTGATTATTTAGTGAAGGTTATGTTTGTAGTTCTTTTTACTTGATATTTAATGACATTTGTAAACTTACAATAAGTGATCCTAAAGTTGTTTTTATTTAAGTTATTACTTTCTAGGATCAATACATTGTCCTACATTTTTAGAAAAACCATCTTAATTAAGGAGGGGCCATTTTATAAATTTTGCACACAACTTCCGAAACTTAGAAATGGCTATGCGTATGTTAGAGTTCATAGTGGAATTGGCACCTTAATTTATCCACAAATCCAACAACTGTTAAGCAGCAATATGATTGAGCATTGCAATGAATAATGAGTCCATAAACTCCATATACGGGAGAAATTTTTTTTCATTGTGACGGATGAAAGATACATTACGTGTTTTTATACAAGTAGTGAGAAATTTTACTTTTTAAGTTATTAACTTTTTGGGTAAATTACATTTTCATACCTCAGGTTTGGGGCCTATTTCATTTTCTTACAACATCTTTAAAACATTTCACTTTCATACCTTAAGTACTATTTTATTTTAAAATAATACCTCCGTTACATTTTCCATCCATTGATCCATTAAGTGCTGACGTGATTGTCACATATATGCTAATTGGCAAAAAAATAAATTTTTTTTAAAGAATTTTCTCAACACAAAAAAAATATATATATATTGAAACCATCCCATCTCCCTGCAACCACCCCCCACATCCCTAAACCTGCAACAACAAGAAAAAGAAGCAAGAGGAGGAGAAGGGAAAAAAAATGCCCAAACCGAGTTCGTCCCTCCACACCCAAAAACCCGCAACCTAGAAGAAGAAGAAGAAGAGTGCAACTGTAGCTCCCATTCTCCCACCCCAACCACCAACTAGTCCTTGTCATTTGAGTCAAAACCCAGGTCCTCTTTCGTCCACCCAAGAAACCCCCACCCTTCATCTCTATCTGAACACCACCCAAAACCACCAAAGACGAGAGTGAGACAGAGAGAGAAGAGTGAGAAATGGATTTCAATTTCAACTCCAACAGAGTGGAGGCGGTTGGTTCGCGGTCGCACGTGCGCGGGGGGGGGGGGGTTGGTTTTTGCGGGGAGATGAGATGGATGGGTTTCAAGGTTTTTTTTTTTTTTTTTCCTTCCTTCTTCTTGTTGTTGTTGCAAGTTTAGAGGTGTGGGGGGGGGGGGTGGTTGCGGAGAGAGGGGATGGGTTTCTTTTTTTATTTTTATTTTTTATTTTTTTATTTTTTGTGTTGAGAAAAGGCAGCCACGTGGTAGATATGTGGCAGCCATGTCAGCACTTAATGGATCAATGGATAAAAAATGTAACGGATGTATTATTTTGAAATAAAATAATACTTAAGGTATGAAAGTGAAATGTTTTGAAGATATTGTAAGGAATTGAAATAGGCCCCAAACCTAAGGTATGAAAATGTAATTTATCCTAACTTTTTAATACACATATCTCATCATTTGCATAATGACACGTAATGTATCATCCTGTGTTCTAGTCCTGTTGAAAAATCTCTCCATATACGCAAGGTTTATTTGTGCCTATATTATTAGAATCGTATCTTGTAAAGAAAGAGAGAAAAAAGATTAGTATCCTGTGCTGCCAGGACCCTATCACTTTATATCCCAGGCCCCTTTCGCTTCATATCCCAAGACCTTTGTCACAACCTGAGTATGCATACCCTTAATGCATGTAGCTTCCTTTGCATCTACGTTCATCACATACCAACGAAGTAAAACCAAATCCTCTTGTTTCCTTCTGCCTAAACATCTCTAAAAAGTAGTTGCTTTCCCTTCCTGCCAACCTGCATGTGCCATCATTCTGCTTATCAAATGGTGTATGATACTGACAATGTAGCATATCACTTGTTTAATTTCATTGCTATATATGCAAGACATTTATAGCTCATGTGATCAAGACCACCTATCCCTATATTAGAGATCTTACGTTAAAACCTCGTCTCTTCGAGTAACCTAATTGTATCTTAAATAAGGCTTGGTTAATGGAGTCAATGGCACGGTTAGGAACTTGAGAGGGATGTGAGAAATTTCCATGTGAGCATAGAGATCCTAAGGATCCAGATTCTTATAAAACCCAAATCTTATCCCTTATGTAAAATGACCGACTTTTTTTTTTTAGTTGTGCATACTTTATTAGAATTATCACTACTTTTTGGTGCTGGGTTTCTGATGAGGATCCCACTCTCCGCTTAATTACCAGCTTACTCTTATCCCACCACTTAAAACTGGACCTATTCTTCCTCTCTCATTCCTCTCTCTCTCTCTCTCTCTCTCTCTCTCTCTCTCTCTCTCCAATCATATATATTAAGACCACACTAGTACTCTCTCTCTCTTATTCCATATCTTGTTGTTTTCTCTCATCAGAAAACTTATTCCTGCGATTTGGTTAATTGGGATGAGAGAACTGGTAACTAGTTAGCCAGCTTTCTACAGACATGAGAAGAAGACTTCATCCTTGCCCTGCAAGCAGATGTTGGACCAAAAAAGGCTCTGCAGGTATGCCAATTAATTTGTTTAGTTTAATAAATTTGCAATCATTTTATAGACTTCAAATTTAGTGTGAATTTGATATGTAGGGTGAGATCAACCCACTTCAACTAGATTATGCTCAATACACAGCGGGACTTTAGGATTCAGTAAAAGGATGAAGCAATTAAGCACAGAATAATCAGAAATTAGATTTTTTTTTTTTTTTCAAGCTTTTCAAGACATTCTTTTTGGCTTGTTTTATTAACACTGTGAATACACACACATACTTAATCCACTCCACATTTACTTTTCTATTAAAATTATTTTAAGACACGCACATACTTTCTCACGATACTTTCACACTCCACGCTCTCAACATACAGCCCAAATTTTCTACATATGCTTCATACTTTTCACATCTTACGTGCAAATACAAATTATATATAGACTTTTTAGCGAAAATGGTCTTTGAGATTTACATAACTTCTCACTTTGGTCCCTAAGACTTGAAATCAACAGAAGTGATCCCTGAGATTGTTCATCAACAATCATTTTAGTCATTCCATGAAAAATCTCCATTAAATAAGAATAAATGAAAATAATATCCTCCATTTTTTGTCAAATCATTTTGGTATATTGTTTGTTAAATTGAGGGTATTTTTATCATTTTGATCCTTATTTAACATGTTTTTTTTTTTTGTAAAAGAACGAAAATGATTGATAATGGACAATCTCAAGGACCACTTCTATTGATTTCAAATCTTAGGGACTAAAATGAAGAATTATGCAAATTTTAGGGATCATTTTGGCAAAAAAGCGATATATATATATCTATATATATATATATATATATTTTTTTTTTTTTACACCCCACATTCACCTCTTGAGATTTTTGTGATCAAATATGACCAGGGTTTATTAGGGGTGTGATTCTCATCACCAACAATACTTTTTCAAGGAATATCATTCATAACGCAGCTATAGGTGTGCCGAAGTCATTGAAATCATTAATACAAGGAAAAATATGAAGTCTTACATCATGTGAAGTTTCCGAAACATCGACTTCATGTTCCATTCATCAAAAATAATTTTTTTTTCAATCAACGTGTTTGTAGTTTCATTATTTAGGGTTTGTTCTATAATAAAGGGTGAGAGTAGTTTTGAAAAAGATAAATAATCTTGAGATATACACACCAAAAAGGTTATTTGGGGTATATTTAGATTTTTTTTAAACCTTATGAAGTCTGAATTGTCATAACATATTAGGATATAGAAGTCATTTACTATTAAACTTTAATGTGAGATGTATTCAACATTATGGATCCAAATAGAAAAAGCTTTATTTTTTTTTCTGGTGACACTAGATTTAAGATTTTTAATCGTCACCTTTCTTTTCATCATTGTTGAGATTAGATATCGTTTCATATAGTGTAATATTCTCATGCTACTTGGACACAATCAAACAATGGAATATTAGATATGACTCCTTGTATTGATGTGTGTGAAATATTACGATATATAAGATGATATAAATCCCTATTTAGATAAGAATCTTGCATTAATTACAATTGGATGCATGACTCGTTTGGACAGTGTTTTCTTAAAAATGCTTTTAGCACTTCCAAACGAACTACAAAGATGAATCCGATTAATTTCCTTTAATTTAATAACACCATTTTGTGATCGTATATTTTGATTCCTCAAAAGCAATTCCTATGTTTATGACTCCAGCAGCAATCACTCTGTTACCTAGGGTTCGATACACATCCATAAATAATATGTAAGGTTTTACGCTTTTGTAACAATAACTAGTGTAGGCTAAGTTTCATACTTTGTGATATTTTTCATTAATTTTCAACGCCATATACTATAGTTCTACAATGCTTACCGTAGAAAACTTTAATACTTCATACGCCATTTTGTATTTGTATATAACCAATTAGTAACTTTATACGGCGCAACCATTAATTTGGGCCTATTCCTTTTTTTCATGTCCTCATTCATAGACTATTTTTACAAAGGTCACTAAAATTAGAGATCGTTTATCCCTTTAATCATTATTGTGAATATTTCATGATTTATCGAAAACACTGTGTTCATCTATTTTGCAAAACTATATTATGATATTTATATTGCTCTATTTCATATAGGGTGCGCCTTCCTCTAGTTTGGTTAGAAAAGCTCCTTAAAAGGTTAGTTTTTTCGACTCCTTCCTGTAAAACTAAAACAAGAGATAGAATTTTCCAATTAGAAGCCCACCTAAACAACAACACCATGATCCAATGGTCCACACGATACATTCTGGGTTCGACTTCTTGATAGGTAAGTGGAAACCCAAACATATAGATCCAAAAGCATACAAATCTATATCTAGAACTAAAACCAGGCGTAGAGGCACCAGATAGTAAGAGAACAAAATGCATTTATCAACTGGAAAGAATTAAAACTCTTCAAATCGTAACAGGAATACAAGGCAAGTAATTTGTAATCCAAAACTACAGAGAGCAAGATGGCCGAGTTTACAATCTGTGAGAGAGAGAGAGAGAGAGAGAATTTAGATTATCCTTCTATAAACTTTTTTCCTGTAATTTTAACACCTTTTTACCATTTGCACCTGTTTTTGCGTATCTTTTTAACTTTTTACTTGCATTGGACCCAGGCACTTCATCTTTCACCACTTTCACATTCACTTCCCCACCATAAGCTTTTCAACTGAATAACCTGTTAAGCCTCTCTCTCCATTTCAATACTTTCTTTGTGCACCCGTTTCTCTCTCAAACAATAAACACTCCATTTACACTTAAGGTTCTTCAACCAATTTCGGGGAACAGGATGAAACGGCCTCAGCCACTGTGAGGAAGATTCTGTCTTCGCCGATCAAAGTTGAAACGTGGGATGCGTGAATCTTATCAATCACCAGCGGTCCGGGGTTTGCGAGAACAAGCTGCACGTTAAGGTTGGAGGTAAGACAAGTTCATGTCACATACAATGTCAGTTTATTTTGTTAACTGAAGTAGAGAATGACGTAGGATGATTTCGCGTGTGTGTAATTTACCTGAATGTCTCTCTTTTGGAGACTCCTGTGCAACTCTTCCAAGGCATGAATTCCACTGGTGTCGATGTCAGTCACAGCTGCAACAAACACAAGACACCATGAGAAATGAATTTAGATAACCGAGAGTAATGAATCAGCCTATCAGCATTTGGTTTAAAAGATCAGAAAACTGCTTACGTGACATTTCAACGATCAAAAACTGAATGCTTGGTAGGTAGGCTTCTTTCAACTGTTCTTCTTCATCCACCAACCATCTCAATATCCTGCAAGGAAGTTGAACTTGAGTACCGCGAAAGATAAAAATAGTATGCCTAAGCAGATTGTAAAACATCAATGTCAGCCCATTTCTAGGTTCCTTTCATGATGAGGCCATATAGAGTACTAGAACTAACATATGACTTGTATACCCTATGCTGCACATTTCAAGTAACGAAACCTTTAATAAGTCGAAAGAAACAGCTTAGTTTGGCAATGTAAGGCAAGCCGAAGTTTTCTGTTTATAGATTTTTCGGTCCTCAGTCACCCCTTTTTTTATTGCATCTTTAAGAATAACCACGAAAATCTAAGCGAACCAAGCATAAACTAGAGAGCATATGTACCTCTCCTTAATGTAATTGGAGTTGGAGAAGTAAATTGCAGAGTCAACTCTCACAATCATAACCCCTGGAACCTTAGTTGCTTCTGGATATTGTTGGATGTTTCTGTATACATTAGTCCCAGGAATCTTCCCGAGTATGGCAGTCCGCGGTCTGGTAACTTGTAAGAGGATTTTAGCAAAGGATATTGAGACCTGGACAGAAACAATTGTTAACTTAGATAGCTGATCTCTATATTATAGTTTTCGAATACAAGGCAGTTAACAATAGATTTATTTACCGCGATTAAGAGGCCGATCTCAACAGATACAAAGATAACACCAAAGAAGGCTCCCAAGCAAGCAACAAAGTCAAATTTGTCAATCTTCCATATAAGGATTGCTGCTTGGAAGTCCATTAGGTTGATCACAGCAGATATAATGATGGCAGCAAGAATGGCATTCGGGGTGTACTTAAAAAGAGGTGTGATGAATTGCAAGGTTAGGAAAACAACGATGGACATCACAATATTAGAGACTGCAGTTTGGCATCCGGCAAAGTAATTCACTGCCGAGCGAGAGAAGGAACCTGCAAATATAAGAGCATTCAATCAGTTCCATGTCCTTCGTCACGTGTCCTCTAGATGCAAGGTTCAAGGTTTTTAAGCATGCTCATTGCTTAACCTTAGAGTATCAACAAACTACGTTCGCTAGATTTGTATTATTTTGACAAATTTCTATGCACTTTATCTACAATCCATCTTCAACGGTTTTACTTGTCAAACTTTTGCGGTGAAAACATGGTCCATGCCTGCTAGAAGCCTAGAACACTCGGCCCTTATCATGCACAAATAAACATTCGTAACTATTAGTGTGTGTAATTCATAATTTATTTGGTATCTTTCTCACCTGTCGCAACATAGCAGGAAGTCATTGAGCCGACAATATTCATGGTTCCTAGAGCCACCATTTCTTTGTTTCCGTCTATCTGGTAGTCCTTCATGGAAGCAAAAGTTCTTCCAATTGCTATAGCTTCCTGATAATTCACACCAATAAGAAACAGGGTTTAAGATACAAGAAATGATATCAAATTTTTTTCTTGGCAGGAAATGGGCTCGGAGATGCTCACCGTCAATGCTACCATTCCAGCTACAACGCCAATCTTGAAACCCTTTGCAAGATAGTGACCAGTGAAAAATATTTCATCTACAGATGGAGGATTGATTCCTTTTTCAATATGTCTCACCTACATGCATAGAGAAACCGTAAGTACTCTTTCTTGTAACTGAAATCAACGTTCTTCTGAAGTACCATTTATAATACAGGGGACTTACAATTGCAACCCCATCCTTTTCTGCATGAGTTATGTACACGAAAAAAGTGGACAGGATAACAGATATCAGTGGGGCGATTGCTGGAACCCAGAAGAGATTCTTCTTCTTCTTTCCCTGCTCCCCAGAACATGTGAAAATCAGACAAGAACTAACAAGCAGATTGTATTAGGCGAATTGAAGTAAAGCTTGGGGATTCTTACAATATATTTGGCAAGCAAGAGAAACGATAAGAATGATACTCCGATGACTATTGTCTGCCAGTTCCACTGCAAAATTTTGTAATACAGGGATCAGTAACTTGATGTTGCAGTCAGTGAAAGAAAAAATTTTGATGTTTCCGATTTTAACCCTAAATAGAGCCTACCCCATGATGAGCTGAGCGAAATACTGATTGCATTACAGATATAATATCAGACTTCTTGGTGAAATTGTTTATTCCAAGAAAACCCTTAAGCTGTTGGAGAGCAATTGTGATGGCAGCTCCACCCATAAAGCCAACAATGGCAGCATGAGATAGGAAATCAATCAAGAATCCCAGCCTGGTAACAAAAATAGAACAAGTATAGTATTACGACTGAGAGGCCTTTAGAGACAGATAGAATGAGAGTTTAAGGTAAAAAAATGTAAGATGTAATCAAGCTAAAGTACCTCAAAATCCCAAGGGTGGCTTGGGTGATGCCTGCAAAGAAGGTAGCTGTGAAGGCCAGGCGCCGGTAATCATCTGGGTTTTTAACATGGTCAATCTCATCCTGAAGAAGTGTACCCAGCAGGAGCGACACCACAGCGACAGGTCCGATGGCTATATCTCTTGAGCTGCCCATGATCGCATAGATCAATGGTGGAACAAAGCTTGAATCTGTAAAGGTTTTGAAAAGCAAAGGAGAAGTCTCACAACAACATCCAAGGAAAGCAGGTACAATAAAGGAAGGTGTGTTCTAGAGTAGCATAGAAATACTTACACAATCCATACTGGGGAGCCAAGTTTGCAAGTTTTGCATATCCAATGTCCTGATTTTCCAGTTGAGAAAATCATCAGATCTATGGAACCGGAAAATGACAGAAATTAGCTAAGTTGCAATAGATTAAGCTGCCAATTTACCTGAGGAATGCAAAGACTAGCAATAGTCAGTCCGGCAATTAGATCCCCCCGAAACTTCAATAGATTATAGTCTCTCCCCCATTCAAATACGGGGAAAATGGCCTGCACGCCGAGGATGAACTTTCGTGACTTAGGTTGATGCTTGAAGGGCCGTAGAGGATCATCTGAAAAGAATGTTTCTTTCAAAGTGTTTGAGAATTCCTTGAAAAAGTTCTGCTTTGGGGGAACTCCAACTTTGTGAATGTATGGCGCGCCCTGTGAATGATTGCGCGAAGATGACAAGCTTCGGGAGTCCATGTCTTTGGCTTCGAGGTCCTCGTTTGAATGAACTGAAGCCATGGATAATCAGTTCACCTGTAATGCAAGAAACAGAAAAAGAAATGATGAACGGGCATAACAGAGTAGTGACTCTTATATTACGAACAAAGTGATAGCGAAAGAGTGCAATGGCCTGCAATATACAAGTAGAATCAGTTTCTAGTGGCATGCAGAAGTGTTTTTTTGCCAACTAGTCCAATGGAATATTGTTTTGATGTCAGTTCATGCAAATATCTTAAAGAATCGAAGACTCAAAAGAAGTCACAAGAGATGTAACTTTTTAGGCAAAAGTGATAGTTACAGAAGAGACTGAAGCTAACCTAATGATAAAAGGATGCCGGAGAAGGCTCTTCGCAGACAGTTGTTTTTTAATGTAGACAGGGCTTACGAGACTGCTGAAGGAAGCTGAAATGCTCTTCCTTATATAAGCACTTAAAAAGTAATTGTGGGCAGACTTTTCAAGCTGCCCAAAAAAAGAATTAAGGAGTGAATGCGGATCACTTACACATCAAATACATAATTAGTAATAAGTCAACAAAGTTTAACAAAAAAGTCAACCCCAACCCGCCACAAATTGATTATTAAATTGCTGGAGATTGATGTAAGCAAACAGATCATCATCCCTTCCATAATTGTACAGCGTAGAATTATAAAATGTATTAGAAAATGATGTTAAGACTTTTTTTTTTCTTTAACAAACGATATTATCTACACTAAGGGGAGGGGGTGGGCTTAGCCTCACAATGAGCTAGCAATAATGTGGTTCAAATTTGCCTTTGGCGAGAATTGAACCTAAGACCTCTCACTTACAAGTGAAGAGAAATATCACTAGACCATAGTACTAGACCGTAGTACAAATGATGTTTGACTTGAGCACAGATGGGCAGCAACTAGAAAAACCAGAAGCATAAATCCACTTTAATTATTTAATTCAGGCCTTATTTTTCAACCCTAAGTCCCTCACAAACAGCAAATGCAAGTCCTGAAGTAGATGTCTTCAAGTTTTAACCGGTGACTTCAGTGAAAAGAAGAAAAAATGGAATCAAATTCTTTATGGTCCATTTGAAGCAAACCCTAGTTCTCTAACTTACTTTTCAACTACTATTTGAGAACTTTGTGACCACAATGGATTCGATTTGAGTCATTGACTGACCTAAAACAAATGAACAAGACAGAAAGAAGGGATGGAGGGAGGGCAAAAAAGGGTCTACTTCATTGAAACTAGAGGCAAACTTGTCGATCAAATAGGTAATGTTTTTTGTGCTGTATTCTTCTTCTTCACAGTGTTGATTGATTGGTGCTGATATGAAACGAACAACAGAAGCAGAAGCATCGAAGAGGCTTTTAACTTTTAAAAACTAGTGTCACAAGAGAAAATGTGCTTTTGTTCCAAACAAAAAAAGGGGATTAAAAGTTGTAACCCTACTTTATTTCTAATTCTGCAGAAAAGTTCAAGAATCAATTATGCCACTTTAGAATTCCTTAAAATTCCACTTGACCGATTCGATTGAACTGCAATTATCCTTAAACTATTTGGTTTTAAGAATAACATCACCCCAATCAAACAATCCCACTCCTTAATCAAAATCTTACGGGAAATACACGCGGATGGAACTGGTTACAAACTTTTAACAAAAAATGAACCCGAGTGATACTAACACGTCAACAAAAGGGCATTAAACCAGGGTTATAAACGGATTACCGTCAAATTTACATATAACCAGTTCTATTTGTGAGTATTTCCCAATCAGATACATGGTTTCACCTCCATTGGTCTAAGAAAAAGCATGCATAACAAATCGGTGAAGAATAAAAATCACAACCAATGGATGATATATATGAAAGAAAGACTACCTCACCTCCTACATATGCTTCTCATGCAAGCCACTGAAAGTGGGAGCAAGAATTTACACCAAAACCAAAGGTTCTTCCCTTCTGGAAATAATAAAAATCCACTCAAGCGCCAAACTCCTGTTGCAAAAGGGCAAAAAGAACCAAAAGATTAATAAAATAATGCAGAAAAAATGGGGAAAAACGAATAAAAAAAAACCAGATTAAATATGCACGAATAGGCAAGACCCAGCAAAAGAGTTTGCACCTTCTCTTTCCCACACTCAATGGTCGTCATGTTTCTGGGAAAAAGAAAATATCCAATTTATAAAATAAAAAAAAATAAAAAAGAGGGGCAACCCTTGAAGAAGCAGAGATGAAAAGGGCTAAATTTTTGTCTAGGTACAATGAATCCCAAAAAACCAATGAGTCCCCCAAATATGAAACTAAAAACCCAATAAAATAGAGACCTGTTTGGTTGCTGAGAAAATTAAGTAACCATCACCCCGTGTCAGTAAAGTACCAAACTTGAACAGGCAGGCTGAAGGTCAGCGAGAATCTTCGACAATTTATAGAAAAATTTAGAAATCACATTCACAAAAATATCGACGCCCAACTCACATCCACTCAATTCTTCGATAGCATTATTATTAAAATTTTAGAAAGATTTTAGAAAAATTTAGTCATTCATCTTTTCAGATTTTTCTTCTTTTTTTTCTTGTGATGTGATGGTTTTGTTGAATTTTCGACATCACATAAATTGTCAAAGATTGAATGTTACGGTAGGTCACATATAAATAACATAAGGTTGGCAAAAGAGTTTACAACTTTTCATTTGGTATTATGTTTTAATGATATTTTTTTTCACTTATAAGTAAAAATAAGATTCTAAACAACGTTAATCGGACGACATGTTGGAAATAAAAGTTCAAATAATCACAAGTATGTATTAATTTATAAAATATCTTTTAAAAATCATATAAATTTATTTTGAATTTAAAGAGAAATGAAAATATCAAATATGTGGGTATGAAAAGAAAAGTGGAACATTGAGCCGCATAAAGATGCAACATCACCTTGACAATCTATGTTTTTTTAATGAGAAAAAAATCAATAGCACCCGATGTTATGGACTGACAGCCTTTTGCTTTTAGAAAAGTCAAGCAACTTATGCTAGCTATCCAAACTTGAGTGGACAGAAATTAAAAAAAAAAAAGGTTTAATTAAATAGTTTGAGAGTGGTCAGGTGGATGTGGAAGGAAGAGAGATAAATTAATTTTCTCTCATCTTCTTCCTCTTTGCAAGAACACAGACCAGAAGCTCAGGAAGTTCAGAAAAACCAAAACACAACTGATTTGCATTCATCCTTTCTCAAATTCGAAAAAAAAAAATTGAAATTCCCAGACCACCTAGGCCACCCAGTCGCCTGCCTAGGCCACCAAAGGGCCACTCAGATCGCCTCGACACCCACCTAATCCATGTCCTGATTTTGCTCCTGATTTGTCATTGTAATCTCAAAAACTAAAAATAAAAAAAATTATGTTGAAGGATTTTGAATCTTATACTCGACCGATTTTTGCCATAATTCTATACATCCTCACTCGTGGAAGAAAAATTTAAATATAACTTAAGCTTGCACTAAAACATGTGGCTACAATCTAAATCGACAATGACTCGTATTCTAAAAATAATAAAATACACGTTGTCTTGTGTACGCAGTTGATACACTGTTTAAATTGTATGGTTGGTTTTTGTTCACACCGCCGTAACGCCGTTTA